CCAGATGTTGTCCTTAGGAAAAAGTACGACTTCCATGCGTGATCTATAAGATTTCTCAACATGTTTCCTGACTACACTCTCTCTCTCCCCGTACAACAGCACACTTGTGTTGAAGAAGGTCGTTGAGAGGACATGACCTTTGGCTGACCTGTGAGACAGACTGGGACCCACAACAGTGGCCCCCGCCCCCGCCGCCATCCTGGGAAAGTGCATTTTGCCCACCCTTCCCACATCAGGAACTGTTTCAGGATGGAGTCTTGAGAGAGTAGAGTGTTACTGCGATCATCACTGAACTCCATTAAGGCCTCACTCTCTAGACGCTTTTAAGATGATGGCGGGTGGGTGGGTGAGGAGGTCTACTTACCTGTACCTGCTCAAGACAAGCCCTGCGTGCACGTTCTCTTACTCATTGGAAACAGCCACCTCCCCTCCTGCAGTTTGTGCGACTTTCCTCAGTCTTTCCTTGGCCTCTGTGTACAAGAGTCAGTTACATTTTGTTTTACGTACACTTTTTATCCTCATCCGGGGATTTTTTTCCATTGCTTTTGGGGAGGAAAGGAGAGAAGAAGGGAGAGCAAGAGAGAGAGAAGCATCGATTGGTTGCCTCCCTTACAGTCCTGGACTGAGGGTCGCACACTGCTGCCGGACCAGGGCCAAACTTGCAGCCCAGGTGTGTGCCCCACCCAGAAAGAAACCTGCAACCTCTCCCTTACGGGAAGTTGCTCCAACCAACTGAGCCGCACTGGCCAGGGTTACAGGGTCAGTTTTAGATGTCACCTGGGGAGCTCCTGAGTTCGCAAACCAGCATTTTCCTTTCCAAATTTTCTATCCACACACGACTGTGAAAGAAATTGATGGTCTATCCAGCAAGTTTCTGAATTTAAAAAATTTGTCCTAATAGTTTTTCCATAGAATAATCTGGATTGTCTCTGTTTGCAGTGTCATTGCCTCTGAGAACACCAGTTATTATTTTTCCTTTCCAATGTTACACATTTTATTTCTTATTGAGTTGTCTGCCCTCTGGTTCAGTGTGGAAGAGAAGCGATGGTTGGACACCCTTGGCCTTTTACTGACTTGAAAGGAGACTCTTCGGACTTTTCATCATTAAATATTCTGTTTGCTATAGGTTTTTGTTTGAAGATACTAGTTATCAGATTAAGGCGGTGTCTTTCTTTTTCCTAGTTTGCTTTATTTTTAATGTCTGACTGAATATTGAATTTTATAAGGTCCTTTTTCTGCATTAACTGATGATTATAATCCCCTTCCTTTAATTATTGATATGTTGAAGTGCAGCGATAGGTTTCTATAGTCAAACTCTTGTTTCATTTCTTTTCTTGCTGAGTAGTATTTCAGCTCAAGGTCTATCACAATTCGTTTATCCACCGACTTTTTGAGGGACATCTGGGTTGTTTGCAGTGTCTGGCTTTTAAAAATAAGCCGTTATGAATATTTATGTACAAATCTGTGTGTGAACATACGTTTTCACTTTTTCATGAGTGAACACTTAAGAATAGAATGGCTATCATATGAGAGGTAGTTGTTTAATTAAAAAAAATAACCACCAAGCTCTTTTCTAAAGTGGATGTACTATTTCACATTCTTCTCCATGATCTATGAGAGTTTTAGCTGTTTCACATACTTCTACGCGGTATGAGTATCTTTGGAACTTTAGCCATTCTAATCTCTGTGTTGTGAGAGCCGATGGCTCTAATTCTAATGTCCCTGATGACTGATGTTTCCATCTTTGCACGTGCTTCCCAGCTATTTGAACAGCATCTCTGTGAACTGCATTTCAAAGGTTTGGCCTATTTTTAAGATTGAGTGGTTTTCTTATTATTGACTTGTATGTTGTGTTCTTTATGTATATATATTCTGGCTATAAGTCCTTTATCTAATATGTTTTTGGCAGATTTTCCCTGAATCTTTGACTTGCTTTTTCATTTGTAAAAATGCTGTCTTTTCAAAAGAAAAATTGTTTAATTTTGAAATCCAGCTTATCACTTCCTTCTTTTAGGACTTGTGCATTAGGTGTTCTACCTAAAAACTTACCTACCTCAAGGTTGTAAAGATGCTCTTGTTTTCTTCTAGAAGATGTATGGGTAATTTTAAGTTTTGTCTGTATGTCTATGACTCATTTTGAATTAATATTTTATATGGTATGAGGTAAGGTGTTGATATTATCGAATTTTGTTTGCCAATTAAAAAAAGGGTTTTATATCTATGTTCAGTGAGTTGGCTGTATTTTTCCTTCATTGTAGTTTTTTTTATTTGTCTTTGAGATGAGGTTGTTCCTGTCTCATAGAATGAACTGGATGGCTTGCTGCCTTTTTCTATTCTCTGCAGTAGTTTGTATGACATAAAGATCACTTATTCCTTAAACCTGGGAACATGGATTTTTTTTACTTCATTTATTTTTTTTCTTTTTATTGATTATACCATTACAGTTGTTCTATTCCCCCCCTTTATTCCCCTCCACCCTGCACACCCCTTCACCCACCATTCCCCCCCTTTAGTTTATGACCATGTGTCTCAAGTTCTTTAGATTCTATATTTCCCATGCTATTCTTGCCTTCCCCCCTATTTTCTATCTACAGTCTATGCTACTTATTCTCTGCACCTTCTCCCCCCTTCTCCTCCCACTCCCCTGTTGCTAACCCTCCATGTGATCATTTCTATGGTTCTGCTCCTGATCTAGCTGTCCTCTTAGTTTGCTTTTGTTTTAGGTGTGTTTGTTAATAACTGTGAGTTTGCTGTTCTTTCACTGTTCATCTTTTTTATCTTCTTTTTCTTAGGTAAGTCCTTTTAACATTTTATTTAATAAGGGCTTGGTGATGATGAACTCCTTGAATTTGACCTTATCTGAGAAGTACTTTATCTGCCCTTCCATTCTAAATGAAAACTTTGCTGGATACAGCAATCTTGGATGTAGGTCTTTGGTTTTCATGACTTGGAATACTTCTTTCCAGCCCCTTCTCGCCTGTAAGGTCTCTTTTGAGAAATCAGCTGACAGTCTGATGGGAACTCCTTTGTAGGTGACTGTCCCCTTAGCTCTCGCTGCTTCTAGGATTCTCTCCTTCATTTTAATCTTGACTAATGTAATGACTGATGTAATGTAATGAAGGAACACCTTGGTGTGTTCCTTCTTGGATCCAACTTCTTTGGGACTCTCTGAGCTTCCTGGATTTCCTGGAAGTCTATTTCCTTTGGTAGATTGGGGAAGTTCTCCTTTATTATTTGTTCAAATAAGTTTTCCACTCATGGCTGTTCCTCTTCCCCTTCTGGTACCCCTATAATTCAGATGTTGGAGCGTTTAAAGATGTCCTGAAGGTTCCTAAGCCTCTCCTCATTCTTTTGAATTCCTGTTTCTTCATCCTTTTCTGTTTGGTCATTTTTTTCTTCCTTCTGGTCCACTCCTTTGATTTGAGTCCCAGTTTCCTTTCCATCCTTATTGGTTTCCTGTGTATTTCTCTTCATTTCACTTAGTTTAGCCTCCATATGTTCCTCTAATTTGTGGCTAAAATCAACCAGTTCTGTGAGCATCCTGATCACCAGTGTTTTGAACTGTGCATCTGATAGGTTGGCTATCTCTTAGTTTCTTAGAAGTATTGGCTCTGGGGTTTTGAGCTGTTCTTGAGCCATAATGTTTTGGTCTGTTGGTGCCTGTTATGTATGAGGGGCAGAGCCTTAGGTGTTCATGGGGGGGGGGGCACCCAGGTCACTGGTTTGTGATGCTGTATGTGGGGACGGGGTCAGAGAGGGGTAATGGCGTTTCCCCACTCACTCTTGGATTTCTGTCCCCTTGCTGTTTCCCACAAACAAACCGAGCCTCCCTGGAGCTGGCTCCCAGGTGTGTGGGCCTGTGCACCCTCCAGGACCCTGTGGGTCTTTCCAGCAAACTCTCTGTGAGCCTGGGAGCTTCTTTCGGCACCCCGACCCAGAAGCTTTTCCAATTGGTGCTTTTAGGCTTTAATTCCTGGCGCTGGGACCCTAGACCGAGCGGTCTGTCTCACTGCTTGCTCCTTCGCCTGGTTTATCCGGGCATGAATGCGTGACTGCGGTCAGCCAGCCGCCTTGCACCCTCACTGGGTGTGCCCATTGCCACCCCCCGCCTGGGATTTGCCAACTGCTGCTTGTGTGCCTGGGTCGGTCTGGCTGCTTTTTCCTGCCGGGATCCCTCTCCGCCAGCCGCTGGCTCCACCCCTCTTACTGGTCTGGATAAATGCTTTGTTGTTGTTGGACTTGTGCACAGTTCAATTTTCTGTGTTTTAGTTGCACCCTTGTTACTAAAACTTTGTTGTCTTTAAAGTTGGTTGTGCAAGGAGGCACAGTGTGTCCACCTACACCTCCATCTTGGCCGGAAGTCCAACATGGATCTTTAAAACAGTCTTAGTACTTGTCTAGTTCTGTGTGTGTATAAATATTGATTTAATTTTTAAAACACTATTATTCTATTGATATTTACTATGTCTTCTGCTTTAAAATTATTTTTATTGCATTTTTCATTACTACTTATGCCCCTTATAGCCCCCTCAGCCCACAATCACCACCCCGTTGTCCATGTCCATGAAAACTTTTTGTTCTTGCTCCATCCCTTCACTCCTAACCATGCCCCACACAGCTGTCATCCTGCTCTCTGTCTATGAGTCTGTGTCTGTTTTGCTTGTTAGTTCAGTTTGTTCGCTAGATTCCATGTATAAGTAAAATCATATGGTACTTATTGGCTTATTTCATTTAGTATAATATTCTCCAGGTCTATCCATGTTGTTACAAAAGGCGAGAGTTCTTTCTTTTTTATGGATGAGTAGTATTCCATTGTGTAAATGTCCCGTCGTTGTTTTATTCCCTCACTTACTGTGGCCACTTATTCTATTTATATTTACTATGTCCTCTTTAGTCACATTTAAGTTATATTTTCATGGGAAATTATTTATTTTTATGTTTGAAAATTATTAACCCACAGTCATTATGTTTTTGACTTTTTTTTTTCATTTTTACCTTTTTTTGGTAGACTGGGAGGTAAACGCATAGAGCATTGCTTTCTATTCAAGCATCTCCTCCAGCCTGTGTTCCGATGTCCCAAAGTTTAATGAACAGAACAGGGGAGCTGCCCTGAACTGAACTCAACACTTTGGATAGATTTTTTTTTTTTTTTTTTTACCAGTGTGACACATTGCTGCCCAGGGAGAACTCATTGAGAAATTCCACCAAATCTTATTTATCACTGTAGACTCTGGCACAAGCACCAAAACCTGAGTGTTGAATATACTGGCATACCCAGAGTTCAGTCTGGAGCAAGTCTGATGGGCTCTCTCTACAAGATCTACCCCCCCCCCACCACCGCTGTTCTATGGTCCTACCCCAGGCATCATTACCTCCTGTCCAGACTTCTGCCACAGGCTCCGGATTTCTGTTTCACTCTTGCCCCCATACTTTGGTCTATTTCCCAGGAAAAAAACTTTTATCATATCAGATCATACGATATTCTGCTCAAAACCCTCCAATGGTATCTCATCACACTTAGAGAAATTCTCAGTGGAGAAGGCACTTGACAAAGGGTATCTTTCGAACCCCAAACATTCTGTTTAGCATGCCCAACCATAACTCTCACAGCTTCCCCCTGGGTACCAAATATCTTCATATTCTACTTCTGTACTCCAACTTCACACCCAACCTCAGTCCAGTCAACTTAGAGATCATCTGGAATCTTCAGAATTTGGGGGAAGGTTTCTCGGCTCCTTGACAGAATTCAAACAAATTGACACCATTTGCCTAGGACCTTTCAGGACCACCATGCTGGAAACGACCCAGCATGGGACTTTTAGAGGAAGTCATCTAATTCATTAATTCAGAGCTGTATCATAATGCTCTTGTTCATGTGTTTCTTTTTCCCTTTTTCTTTTTCTAAAATTTTTATTGGATTTATTGGGGTGACACTGGTTAATAAAGTTATAGAGGTTTCAGGTGTACAATTCTATAATATATCATCTGCATGCCGTATTGTGTGTTCACCACCCTTTGTCAAATCTCTTTCCAACACCATTTATCCCCCTCATTCCCTTTGGTAATCACCATGCTGTTGTCTGTGTCTGCGAATTTGCTTTTTCTGTTTTTGTTTTTTCTTCTTTTTTTTTCCCCCCTTAATCCCCTTTACCTTTTTCACCCAGCCCCCTTTCAGATTGCTACCCCTAGACCCTGCCCATGGTGGACATTCTGGAGACACCCTAACCTACAGATTTTGGATGTGAGCGCTCTTCTTTTTCTGGCTAATACCTTCACAGCCAGAACTGTGATTGGTTCCTCGTAACAGCTCAATACCATGTTAACACTTGCTAAAATTATTATGTGATTTCTGTGTGTGGAGAAAGATAACGGAAACATTTATATAAGCAAGGGGTACTCTGGAATTGTCTGCTTAACTGGTAATTTTAGAAGATAATCATAGATGATAATCATGCAGGGACTATTTGATGGCTCAGATATAATTGTTTAAAATATTATACCTGAATGTTTTCACATTTTCTGATGCACTGATGCATAGTTGACTTTAAAACATGAGAGCCTTTTACCTTCTTGATTTTCCATTTTCTTTCTCAAAATCGACCACTTTCTAAGCATTTATATGAATGGAATCAAACCTTATACCTTGTTTTCTAACTTAACTGTTTTTTTTACTTAATGGTATAACTTGACCTTTGCATGCTGGTATGTTTAACTTAAATCCACCTCGGTTTTTGGATGGCGGTTGAGTTTTTTCTTGAATGGATGTACAGTGCTGGGTTCTCCGCACCTCCTACTGATGGTAATGGTCCAGGCTAGTCAAGTTCTAGAATATGAATGCTGATAAAATGTTTTCACGTTCATGTAAATTACCATGTACTAAAGGGACAAAAGAAAATCAAGTCGCCCCTAAGGGGAAAAAGGCAGTATTTTCAAAGGCATTTAAACAACAATAGTAAAATAAAATGAATTAACTTTCTTTTAAACAAATTCTTTTACGTTTTTTGCTTGTGAAAAAATTCTTGGCCTCCCTTCTCTATGGAAGATGCAAAATCTCTGGAACTGCAGACACAGGAGGAGAAGGGGATAACTCCAGGTACAAAGGAAAGACTCTGTTAACACTGGGCAGAGCAGAAAAACGTTTTAGTTGCATGATTGTTTGCCAAAAGGCCTTTCGAAGCAACCTGAAACTACAGTGTTGATTCCATAGTGGAATTTTCCTGTAGGATAATAAAACATAGGCTGGATGTGAGACAATCTGTAGTCTGTTTTCAGGCCCATGGTTGGTTCTCAGATGTTTGTGGAATGAACATGGGATCCATGACCAGATGCAGACCGAGAAGAGGCTGTGGCTTGAGATCTTGAGGTGGGCCCAACACCACATGGACCCTGCGTCCTGAAGAATGGTTGGTAGCCCACGGAGGCTTCCTTAAGGGCTGAAAAGGGGTCCCAAAATTCAGCTAAAGCCCATGAATTGCAGTGTGAGGAATATACAAAGTGCTTCAAACAAGGTCCAGTCCTTCAGCAGCCAGGCACAAGCTAGACGCTCCCACTGCAGGAAATCCCTTGTTGGGACCCTTCTAGGGAAACCACAATATAAGATTCTTACAAAGTTGAAGGATGGTTATTAAAAATAAAGGATGCTCTTATACATATGTCAATGTACTACAGAGATCACTTAAAAATGATTGCCAGGTGTTTTTTAATTGCTTTTAAAGATGCTTGTGGCCCTAGAGTAGAGATTCAGTGTTTGACGTGCACAAAGAAGGAAAACGTAGACCCGTAGATGCCAGAGAAAATTTGACTCTTCCTACTATAAATTGATATGGAAAGCTGTGACTTGGGAGTCATGTGATAGATCATGATGCCTTGGAATCCTAAATTATCCCTTGGGAATAATGTAGGATGATGCAATAGATCAAATAGCAGGAGATATGGGCTCTAATCCTCATTTTTTGCTCTTTAACTACTTTTCTATCTTTAGGCAAGAAACTTAGCCTGACTAGGCTTTATCATCAGAAAGCTGGGAATAAAAATATTGGTCCTGCTTATTTTGCAAGGATGTTTCAAGGACGAAATGAAATAAGTGAATAGGAAAACATTTTTAAAAACTACTGTTCTACAACCATAAAGTTTCACTACTTGCTGAGTGTCCAATGTTCTCAAACTTTAGTGTGTGGATAAGAATCTTTTATGGTGAAGAATGCAGCTTCAAAAACTTCTGTTTCTAGTGCTACTTAAGGCCACAGAGTCTGGAAAAATCCCTCCCATTACACAGCTCCTAGGAATGCTGGATGAAGGAGAGCTGGCATTATTATAAATGCGTAACGGAGCTTGTGATCAGGGAAGGGCAGTTCCTGGGGCCAGAACCCAGAAGGGGCAGCAGTGACTCAGAGAAGTAATTAGGTACTAAAGCCACAGCTGCCTTAAGGGACAATAATCTAGTGTTATGTATTTCAGGCTAGAGAGGAGCAGAAGGCAAGTTCTGATGATCACCCAAGGTGCAGAGTGAGAATTGAAATTTCCCATACATCCATCTCTCCTAAAGCGCTTTTTCCTCATTAATAAGGCAGACCAAAAAAAAGATCTACCATCGGTGACGGGAAGTGCCAGGGGCTCTAACCCTCTCAGTCTGAGTCCTAGGAGGGGCGAGGGTGGGCTTTTTCCTGTGGGTTAAACCAGAGGCTTGCCCGATTGTGACCTCACACCACTGGTGTGGTCCGTGAAGACCCAGACCCAGAAAGCAACTCTGAGCTCCTGGGTTGGTGGAACTGAGGCATGGAGGGCAGATGCCAGAAAAATCCTCCCTTCCAGGGGTGCTCGCTTTGTCCAGGTATCTCTGGATTCCAGAAATAAAACCAAGCCTAATGTGAATTCCAGTTCCTAAGCCCCTTAGTAACAAGACCCAGTAGAATGACAGATGTCCAAGGACTTCAGATATGGGATATAAGGTACAGAATATATATTTAAAATGTTTGGAAAGTGCAGATTCCTGAGTCCCAATGATTCGACAGCTAGAGCGGGCCCAGGAACCTGCATTTTAAGGCAGCATCCCAAAGGAGTGACATGCAGATGGCCCTCAGAGGACCCACTGGGAAATGCGGCTTTGTTAAGTCTCCAACATTTATTCCATGGGCCACTTGAAATACCAGAGGGATCCACTCTTGGTTCCACCGCCACGTTAGTGGGTTAGAAGGATAATCTGTAGTAGCTGCAGCCATGCGAACGCTCAGACTTCAGAAGAGGCTTTCCTCCAGTGTCCTCCGCTGGCCAAACAGAAGGTCTGGCTGGACCCCAATGACCAGCGAAGTCGCCAGTGCCAATTCCCATCAGCAGGTTTGGAACCTGATCCTCCAGAAGCCTGTGAGTTCCATTCCCGGGCTTGATGCTGGAGCAACACCTTGCCGGCACGAAGGGCAGGCCTGTGAGCGTAGGTAAGCGAAAGGGTACTTACTGCCAGGGCTTGGAGGCCTGGGCAAGTGGCCTGGATGAGGAGGATGAGAATTCTTTGCCTGCTACTCAGAAGGTACCATGAATCTAAGAAGACTGATGACCACACCAACCACAGCCTGTACCTGAAAGTGAAGGGGAACGTGTTTGAAAACAAGCGGATTCTCACAGAACACAGCCACAGGCTGAGGGTGGACAAGGCTCCCAAGAAGCTTCTGGCTGAGCCGGCTGAGACCTGCAGGCCTAAGACCAAGGAAGCTTGCAAGTGTCGCGAAGCTCAACTCCAGGTCAAGAAGGAGGAAATCATCAAAACTCTGTCCCAGGAGGAAGAGGCCAAGAAATAGAGCTCCGCCTCTCTTAACCTGTATGTAGTGGCCTTGGCAACTGTGTGGATCGGTCACTGAATAAAGTAGCCTCACCCACTTAAAAGAGGAAAAATAAAACATAAAGAAAGAAGGACTTCCTTTAATGACCAATTTCCTTTTCTCCCCTGTGACGATTTAGGCGTTTTTAGTCTCCCACTGGCCCAGTGACAGCCACAAAAGGTGCTGCTGGACCCACTTGCGGAGCCAGTGGACGTGACAGTCTCTTCCCTCTCTGCTTCACTGGCGTCCCTCGCACCCTGCTGCCGAGTCTTCCAGGCTGACGATGCCCCCTCGTTGTGTTACGACGTGCGGAGGTTAAAAT